GCCTTTCCTGGGACTCACTTGGTAGCCCAGGCTGGCCTCGAACTCACAGAGATCTGCCTGGCTCTGCCTCCCGAGTGCTGGGATTAAAGGCGTGCGCCACTACCGCCCGGCAATACCATGTTTCTGATGAATAGCCTATAGCAGAAAGGTGATCCCAGGGACAGAAGACAAGTACTTGAATGCAGGGCAACTTTACCTAGCTGTCAGTGACCTGTTACGGGCTCTGAGAAAATCCAGTTAGGTGGTTGATGAGAAACACATTACTTCTCCAAGAGAGGACCCTCATATTCAGAAGCCCTCATATGCAGGAACTCTATTATACAAGAGACTCTTTATGTGCAGAAGCAGCCCTTGTATGCAGGAGACCCTTTATATGCAGAGGCAGCCCTTGTATGCAGGAGACCCTTTATATGCAGAGGCAGCCCTTGTATTCAGAAGAGGATCCTAACATGTAGAAGTATCTCTCGTATACAGGAGGAACACTCATATGAAGGAGTCTGTAAATACAGTGTTGAGAAAGAGTAGGACCTTGTTAGTTTTCATGTCATGCCCAGTTTGTCTCGCTTGGTTCCCTGGTTAAATATCCAACGTCTCAGAAAGGTTAGGTAAGAGACAGCTGGGGAAGATGTCTCAAAGGTCCAATTCCTTTCACACTTCGCTAGGCCTCTTATGAAACCTTGCATTAAAGACTGGACCAAATCTGAGAAGACAGCCATCCCTCGGAAGAAATCACAGTTTTGTGAAGCGTGTGTGTGTCTAATAACAAAACAAAACAAAACAAAACCCAGGGTCTAAAGGACAGACCTTTGTTTTTCGAAGGCCTTTAAAAAAACAATCCAAGTTGCCGGGCGGTGGTGGCGCATGCCTTTAATCCCAGCACTCGGGAGGCAGAGCCAGGTGGATCTCTGTGAGTTCGAGGCTAGCCTGGGCTACCAAGTGAGTTCCAGAAAAGGTGCAAAGCTACACAGAGAAACCCTGTCTCGGGGAAAAACAAAACAAAACAAAACAAAACAACAAAAAAAAATCCAAAGGGTATATTTTAATACCAACTGTTAGAAAATTCAGAAATTAAGAAAACAAAGAAAGAGTACACTGACAGGTGGGATGTGGATAAAAGGTAAATTTAACTTTTTTTCTTGATGAAAGATTTTCAAATGGGCAATGAGACAATAAAGCAGGACAACGACACATGAAATACAGCAACAGACCAGAGTGAGGGAAAAAAAAGGCAAGCACAGATTTGGTTTTAATAAGCTTATCCTATTCATGTACTTTTATTTACCTTTGGAGGGAATATGATATTGTGGATCAAGGCCTTGCTTTGCCACATCCTCACTTTGGCCTCAAGCTGGCACACATCCTCCGAGATTCAGTTTCTTCATTGGCTCAACATAGACAGAATACACCTGTTTCCTTGAGTGATTGTAAGCCTACGGTAAACACCATTCAGCAGCTGTTTAACACAGACTTTAGTCTGTTTATCTTCTTTTCCCGTGAGTTCCTCTTTACTCAGATTCTCTTTCAAGCATTTGCTTGTCTGTTTTTCAGGACAGAGCTTCTTTGTGTAGCCTTGGCTGTCCTAGAACTAACTCTGTAGACCAGGTTGGCCTTGAACTCACAGAGATCCGCCTGCCTCTGCCTTCTGAGTGCAGAAGGTGTGTTCCACCACTGCCCAGCTTCTCTCAATCATTTCTGTTCCTAGCTTTTATGTATGTGTTGGTGGAAATATTTCTTATTTAATTGTACAGTGTTAAGAAAAAACCATGTTCCTATTAGTTTGTAAGGATGTGTAAGTGTGCATGTTTGCATTTTTTTTTGTTTGTTTGTTTTTGTTTTTCGAGACAGGGTTTCTCTGTGTAGCTTTACGCCTTTCCTGGAACTCACTTGGTAGCCCAGGCTGGCCTCGAACTCACAGAGATCCACCTGCCTCTGCCTCCCGACTGCTGGGATTAAAGGCGTGTGCCACCACCACCCGGCACATGTTTGCATTTTTTAATGAGCCTAGTCTGTTGTTACATTGCATGCTTTAGATAGGTAATGCTTCTGGGATGTTAGGTGTAAGCTTGCTGTGTTTAAAAACATGACAACGTATTACTTCTGTGTTGCTGTGATAAAACACCATGACCAAGGCAACTTATAGAAGGGGGCGTTTACTTGGCTCATGGTTCAAAGGCTTATGCCATCATGAGTGGCGGAGGCATGGCAGCAGGCAGGCATGGTAGCAAGAGGAAGAATTCAAGTGATCGAATCTCTAACTCCAACCACGAAGCAGAGAGTGAATAAGAAGTTGGGGGGGAGAATATAAATATTTGAGACGCACCCCTTTGAAACATCTGAAAGGAGTGCCACCAATTGGGGACCAGGTACTCAAATATCCCGTGGGGACATTTCTCATTTAAACTATTACACAGGGCCCAGAAAGATGACTTGATGGGCAAACTCAATGTGCTTGACATGCGAGCATGGATCCTAAGTTAAGATACTAGGGCTGTCAGGGAGGACATGTCTGTGACCCTAGCACTGGAGGACCAGAGGATTGTGGACAGCTCCCTGAGTAGTCAGTCGAGCAAAAACAGTGAGTTCCTAGGATCAATGAGAGACACTCTCTCAAAACACAAGATGGGAGCCGGGCAGTGGTGGCGCACGCCTTTAATCCCAGCACTAGGGAGGCAGAGCCAGGCGGATCTCTGTGAGTTCGAGGCCAGCCTGGGCTACCAAGTGAGTTCCAGGAAAGGCGCAAAGCTATACAGAGAAACCCTGTCTCGAAAAACCAAAAAAAAAAAAAAAACACAAGATGGGGAGCCCTAAAGGAACACACCCAAAGCCATCCTCGGGCTCTAGGCACAAGCATGGATTCACTCATTGCCCCCATACGTGCACAACCCCCTAAATAGATGGTATACACCCTTAAAAAGTCAACTTCGCTACCAGCTTTACTCTAAGTAACAATGACATTCAAAGAAAAAAATTTAATGTTGTATTCCTTTTTTGGGGGAGGTGAGACAAGGTCTCTTTCTATAGCCCTGGCTGTCCTGGAACTCACTCTGTAGACCAGGTTGGCCTTGAACTCACAGAGATCCACCTGCCTTTCCCTCCCGAGTGCTGGGATTAAAGGTATGTGCCACCACTCCTAGACAATGTTTTATTCTTAATAGTGTGAAAGTTTCACAAAAAGAAATCCCACTTCAATTTCTGTGAATCTTATTTGTAAACCATAAAGAACTAAGAAACTCATTATATGGTGTTCAACCTAATGTCTAGTTTCTAGAATAAATTGGTGATGTCACCAGCTTAATGCCACTCATCACATTAAAATGCAGATCTTTATTCACTGGGATTTCGTTGGAAACGTACACACGGAGTAAAGGAAGTCGGGTTTTTAGGAAGTTATAACGACATATATAATGGACATTAAGTCAACAAACAAAACAAATAGAATTTTCAGAAGTCGCCCCAGAATTTCATCTTCCAGGCTTTGGGGTGAAGTAGTAGAAATTAATATCCAGTTTTTGCCACTCATTTTTGGGTCTTCTTGCTCCCTAAAAGATAGAAAGAGGACAATCAGCATCCTGCAGTACATATGTATATGCCTTATTTCTTTAGTGAAGCCTTCCGGCGGATGCTCTACCTATCTGTAGCCAACCAGTGAACTAAAATATTTTTTCTCCTACTCACTTTGGAGACTTTATGTCATAGCCACTGGCTTTTGTTATTGTTGTAAGATTTAAGATTTAACTTTTCAAAATTTATGCATGTCTGTGTTTAGGTATGTGCACATGAGTGCAGTCCCCTCAGAGGCTGGAAGGGGATTTGGATCCCCTGTAGCTGGGGTTATAGACAGTTGGGGATCATCTGATGTAGTTCTGAGTACTGAAGTGGGGTCCCCTGAAAGAGCACCACTACATCCATCATCTCTCCAGTCCCAGCCCTGAGTTGTTCTTCTGGATGCCAAACTTGCCTTTCTCTCTGCAAGGAATGGGTCGCGAGACTTCCATAATGAGCATTCTCTTTTTATGCTATCGAACTCGCCAACTGGGATTCCCACGAGAGAAGCATATGGGAGATGCAAATAGTGAAAACATTCTTCAAAAATGAATGGCACATAAATAAATAAATAAATGTTTAAAAAAAAAAAAGAAAAAGAAAAAAAAATGAATGGCACAGGGCCTTTCTGATTTCGGGAACTTTCCTCCAGACCTCTCTGGTGTGTTCTGGCCACCGAGTAGAATATCATCATGTTTCCTTCCCTCCACATCTCCGGGTTATAGAAACTTGTGCCTGTTTCATTTTGTTTTGTATAGCTGGAATCTCAACCTGTGCTTACCTGTGATTGGTTTTCCACACTGCAGGAACGTTTTAACTGAGCATCTAGTGGAGAGGGTTAACACCATTCTTAACTTCCTTTCCAGAAAACAAGCAGGCAAATGAACCCGTTTCCAAGCCTTAAACTGAGACTTCTGTACACCCTCTCAAATGACCACAAATACCTTAACAGAGTGGCAAGATTTGCATGGCCAGCCATGTCATCGGTCACTTTTTCACTCAAAACTATAAAGGGCAAGGTGAGGGCTAAGGAGACAGATGAATGCTGTGCTCAAATCTCCTCCCACATTGAGGAATCTTCATTGATTTCTGTAACAACTGGCTCCATTCTGCATTCTCACAGAAGGGAACATCTTATCAGAGTTATGCAGCCGTCACTGGCAACGGTAAGCACCTGGAGTCTTTTCTTCACGCAACAATTTCTTTTGCCTGTGTTTCAGCCAAAGGCGGGGGAGGGGCAAGAATGACACACAGGTTGGTGAGGAACCTTCCCCTCCCTCCCATAGCCTGAGCCTTCAGCCTGGGTGTCCTCAGTCAGGGCTTCCTTGGAGACCTTTCCATTCTTCCCAAAATCAGAAAAGAAAGAGCAATAGGTGAGTGCTCGAGAGACAGAGGGATGGTGAGAGAGACCCGTTTCTCACCTGAGATCCCCGGGTGGTGGCAGGCAGCTCAGCTCTACCCTCCAACTCTCCTCTCCTGCTCTCGCTGGACCAGGGTGCTGCGGGCACAGGTGATCTCCTAGCAACCTCGGTTCCTGTGTCAAAGCACATGGAAGGTTTAATTGGACTCCAAAGTGGTTCGGCAAACAGAGTCGCAGTCGCCTGCACTGGAAATTGCTATAGGACGTTAAAGAACACAGGGAGGAGTCCAGGCAGTGGTAGCGCACGCCTTTAATCCCAGGGGCAGAACTCTGTGAGTTCGAGGCCAGCCTGGTCTACAGAGTGAGATCCAGGACAGGCTCCAAAGCTACACAAAGAAACCCTGTCTCAAAAAAAAAAAAAAAAAAAAAAAAAAAAAAAAAAAGAAAGAAAGAAAAAGGAAAAGAAAAAGAAAAGGAAAAAAAAGAAGACAGAAGAAGACAGGGAGGATGTTGAAGACGGGAGAAGAGGACATCTTAATTATATTTTAAGACAGAATTGGGTGGCTTAGAAACTGAAAACTTAATAGAAATATTAAGCCAAACTGAAGGATTTTCCTTGTAGGGCAAACATCCACCACACTTTCTAAGGAAATAAATCCCTTGAAGTTATAGTTGAACAAATACAATCTCCATGTAAGAGACCATAGCTTACAAGATTACAGGGTTGATTTTTAAATATTATAAATTTTACAAAGTAAAAAATAGGAAGGTGGACTTATAACAAACAAATGGCTGTAAAATATGGCCACTGCACCTTCAACCATTTAATTATCCTTTGCATACTTTATGTCTTGAATATTAAGACACTGTACTCAACATTGCTCACTGCGGGGGAGAGGGGGTTCCTGCCCCAATCATCATATCCCAGCTCTTCAATAAGCTATTTCTCTGTACAGGTTGAGTTACCTCTTTTCAAAAGTTATTGGGACCAGTGAATTCTCATATTTTTCTCTTCAGCTTTTGAATCTTTTTATAGACACGATATATGTTGGGTGTGGGCTCTGAGTCTACACCCAAAGTTCATTCATGTTTCAATATACAGCACCTATAAACAGTGCTCTTAGCATACCCACCCTTTTATTGCAACCCAGCCCATCAGAATCAGACTTGGAATCTTCCAGTTTGGGGGCCTGACAGGAAGTTTGAGAGCTTGGGATGCAGGATCTCCATCTCGATTCCACATCCGGCAAATAGGTCAAGGTCAAGAGAAATAAATCACATATTTAACATTTTTAATGTGTTTTATAAGTAAATACATGCAGGTGAATTTTAAATTATTTTAATTATATAAGATAAATTGGAAAATAAGATGGTAACTAAACTATTATTCAGCCATGGATAGAGCATAATATATCCATTAAAATGATGGTTATTATATACACATGAAGTCATAGAAACACCACTTAGACAATGATGCTTAAATATTTTTTTTTAATTTTTTTCTTCTACTTTAAATTTTAATGCTTAAATATTTTACAGTGGCCACAATACCCTGTATACTCTTTTTTGGGGGGTGAGGTGGGGGGGATGGCAACCTGAGTGGTTTTTTGTTTTGTTTTTTTGTTTTTTGTTTTTTTCTCATTTTTATTTATTTATTTTTCTAGTATCAGCTTGATACAGCACAAATTCTTATCCTAATAGTGAAATGGTTCGCTGAGGCTTGCCTAGTGATTGAGTAAAACCAAAACTTATTATAAGCCACAGTCATCCTAGGGTTCCCCCTGCTATATAGCCTCCCTGGTTTGTAGCTAGAATTTTTTTGCCTTGCCCACAGTCAGGACAAATCTTTGTCACCCGCCAGTCCCTCAGCCACTCAGACCCAACCAAGTAAACACAGAGACTTATTTTGCTTGCAAACTGTATGGCGATGGCAGGCTTCTTGCTAAATGTTCTTATAGCTTAAGTTAATCCATTTCCATAAATCTATACCTTGCCACATGGCTCGTGGCTTACTGGCATCTTTTCAGGGTGGCGGCTGGCAGTGACTCCTTCTGTCTTCCTGTTCTTTTATTTCTCCTCTCTGTTAGTCCCGCCTATACTTCCTGCCTAGCCACGGGCCAATCAGTGTTTTATTTATTAACCAATCAGAGCAACTTGACATACAGACCATCCCACAGCACAGTCAAGTGCAGACCATCTCAGACACCTGCACTCAGGTCCGTGGTCCTAATCATCCTCTATGCGGACCTTCTGGGTAAAGCCACGAGGAACCCAAGAACAGGCTCCCACAGGACATACAGAACATCCCATAGCACTGGTTCTGTGGGTTGCAGTCTGATTGTTCTTTGCTTTATATCTAGTATCCACTTACGAGTGAGTACATACCATGTTTATACTCTTATGCATCATACTCTTTGAAAGAACCACATGGCTTCCTTCAGAAAAGCATGTATCCACATGATCTTCATAGCACCTTTAACTTGGAGACAATACAAATGCCTAGTCCATGGACAAGTGCCATGTCCATGCATGGCTTCTAGGGCCTTGGACCTGACTGGGCAGTAAGGGAATGAAGAGAAAACAGATTTGGACACAAACACAGACAAGCTGTGATCAGGTGGTCTGGGTTCTTTGCTGGCGAAACCACAGCATTCCAGAAACTCAGGGTATCTATATGGAGTGGAGAAGAGAGGCGGGGTCATTACAGACAGATAGACAAGGAGGAGGGGTTACTGCATACAGACAGACAAGGAAGCAGGGTTATGGTATACAGCTGAATCAAGGGGACAGTTTTAACAAATTGCAGCAGGGGCACTCTCTGTAGGGGACCAGTCTTCATGCTCTAAACATCCAGGGAGAGAAAGCTACAGCAAACAGTCTGCACACACTATCACCATCCACACACAGAGCACATACCATTGTCCCCCAAGCCTCACTCCAGGGGAGAAGGCTTTGCTATTTTCTTCATGGGTCTGAGGCTCTCGGGTCCTTGACATGGCTATGCCCATGTTGACGGTGTGCATTCCCTCGGGACTTCACTCACTCAGGGCTTTCTGTGCTCCCTACAACTAGGGTGGCAGAGATAAATGGTGGGTGGCATAGACATGAAATGGAATGCCATACCACAATGACAATTAAACTACAGTGATAGACAAGACTAGGATGAACCTTCAAAGACAAAATCGGACCTCACAAAGCAAGGAACAAAAGCAAACACTCAGTGTCAGCACTTTTACCCAAGGTAGAGAGCTTGGGCACCATGCCCAGTTGAGGAGTATGTGTGTGGGCAATAATGGCTGAAAGGGTAAATATGAAGAAAGGAATGGATCCTGAGTTAATGTTCTCCTTGCCGCAACAACGTATGTTGTAGAATATTATTTTAAGGTGTGTTACTTTTGTTTATGTGGCATTTGTTTAACTCTGTGAAGCTGTGTTACTGTGCCTGTCTAAAACACCTGATGGTCTAATAAAGAACTGAACGGCCAATAGCAAGGCAGGAGAAGGGATAGGCGGGGCTGGCAGGCAGAGAGAATATATAAAAGGAGAAATCTGGGAGGAAAAAGTAGTAGCCAGAGGAGGACTCCAGGGGACAATCACCCAGCTACACAGCAAGCCACAGAGTAAGAGTAAGGTTTACAGAAGTAAGAGAACAGGAAAAGCCCAGAGGCAAAAGGTAGATGGGATAATTTAAAGTTAAGAAAAGCTGGCTAGAAACAAGCCAAGCTAAGGCCAGGCATTCATAATTAAGAATAAGCCTCTGTGTGTGATTTATTTGGGAGCTGTGTAGTGGGTTCCCCAAAAGAGTAAAAATAAATGACAAACATACATGACAAGAAGCAACATAAGGGAGTGGGTTTTATTAGAACTCATGGTTGGAGGGGATACAGTCCATCATGGTAAGGCAGGAGCATGAAATAGCTGGTCATACTGTAACTGAAGTCAAGAAGCAAAGAGACATGTATACTGGTCCTCAACTCATTTTCTCCTTTGAATTCAGTCTGTGACCATCCCTATTCTGGGTTGGTCTTCTCTCTTCATTAAACCTCTTTGAAAGCATTTTAAAAAATATTCCCAAGGTGCGTCTCCAGGTAGTTCCAAATACACTCACGTTAACAGTCAAGATCACCCATCACAGGGCAGAGGTAAAGAAGAGGGATGGGAAGAGCTTCTAGCCAGGTTTCCTTTCTTGTCAGTACACTCACGATCACTTTTTTTTTTTTTTTTTTTTCCGAGACAGGGTTTCTCTGTGTAGCTTTGCGCCTTTCCTGGAACTCACTTGGTAGCCCAGGCTGGCCTTAAACTCACAGAGATCCACCTGGCTCTGCCTCCCGAGTGCTAGGATTAAAGGCGTGCGCCACCACCGCCCGGCCACTCACGATCACTTTTAAACGATTTGGTTATCCCATACAGAGAGCATGGTATGGGAAGATCATAAGTTTGAGGCTAGCTTGGGCTACATAGAAGGCTCCAGGCCAGCCTGAGCTATATAGCTAGACCTTTTCTCAAAACACAAAAAGAAAAAGAAAAAAAAAAAACAAATAAAATCATACACATACACCCCCCCACACACACACACAATAAAAGGAAATAAGGAAACCCTGTGCATATGAGTTTTGTGTGCACCCTTCTGTATTTAAGTGGATTTCATAATTGAAGTATTGAGGGGGGAAAGGGCAATACACACAAAAGGTCAGCATATCTATGCTTAGTTGGAAGGCCCATGGGTGACTCCCATCTTTCAGCTGTTTCCATTTCTCAGGTCCATTTAGGCAGAAGGCTATTGCTCCTACAATCTTAGGTAACCAGAAAAAGTAATTTCGCTGGCAGCCTTCTTCCTGCTCTGTTAAATTAAAAGTAGTCCATATTGATTGGTTTTGTTGAAACTGTCACTATAGCAAACAGGAACAAAACGAACATTAGTCAGTGAGATGCTCCCATGAAGATAGATCGATAAAATCACCGAGCAAACATGTTCCCATTTCATTCAAAACACCCACGACAAACAGGAACTTGGCCATGTCCTGTTTGGCTCTTCCCCTTGAGTCCAGATCTGAATCCCTGGTAGATACAAACTTGTTTGTCCCAGTATCAACTGTCAGCATGAACACACACACAGATTTTACTGTGGATTAAAATGCTGACTATCACAATCCTTTGATATCAATTTCTTTTTC